GTGTTCATGACACCGAAGCTGATGAGCTCTGCTGGGACACAGCCCGTCCTCAGAGGCTGGAAGGTGGATAAGGACACTCAGCTCCTCTGCTGGGTGCTTCCTGCCACCTCACCTCCCTCTCCTTCCTACCGTCACCAACTCTGTATCACCCGGTCCCCATCACCATTTCTTTTTCTTTTTTTTTTTTTTTTTGTCTTTTTTTCGTGTCTCAAAACTGGGCCATCATGCCATCTGCAGCACTGGCATCAGCACAAGTGGGCCCTCAGCATCTCTTGGAAAAATACTTGCTTTCCCTTGTCTCTCACTGAAATTAGTCAAACCGACAACCATGCATTAGATCTCATCTAAAATGAGAAACTGCTAGTGGGTACCTTCAGACACGTTTTCTCCAGCGTTTTATTACCATCATTTTACTGCTAAGTTCTGTAAAGGAAGCACCTCTCATTTCAACTGAGCACTCAGCCCCTGACCAAGCCCCGGGGCTAGCGCACTGTAGCAGTGCGCCACCGGGCCGGCCCCCCATCACCATTTCTAAACTCTGCGTTCTCTTATCGTCTCCCTGCCCTCTTCCTCCTTTTCTTCTCTTTTTCACAGTGTAACGTAGCAAACCTTTACTGTGGGGTTTTTTCCATCTAAACTTGTGCACTGAGCAGCTCCAGGAATTTTTGTGATGGTGCCTGAGACATCCATCCCTGTGGCTCTTCTCTCTCCAGTTCTTTTTATTTTTACTCATTGGGCTTCTGGGTAAGACTTTATTTAAAGAAATACTTCCCTGGCTAAAAAAACTGCTGGACGCCACTGGTTTTTTGTTGCCTGCTCCGTTTTCAGAAGATATGCTGTGTTAGATCTCACTCACATCAAGCCGTGGACTCCAGGAGGTCACTCCGTGGCCTTCACCAGACAACACGACCACACACACCACGCACATGCACACGCACACACATGCACCACTCAGAAAACCAACAAAGGACCTCTTTTTTTTTTCTATTTTTGGAGCTTCTCATCTTAAAAAGAGCTTACCTGTTGGGTTTTGTTTTGTTTTGTTTAACCATTTTTGGAGCTTCTCATCTTAAAAAGAGCTTACCTGTTGGGTTTTGTTTTGTTTTGTTTAATTTTTGGTTCTTTTCAGCTTAAAAAAAAAAAAGAGCTAAATTTTGAGCTATAACAGGTTGCTTTAGGGTATTGACATCTAAGCTAAATCAAAATTTAAGCTATCTAACCTTAATTAAAATCTAAATGTCATCAGGCTCCTATTTCATCTGAAACACACACTCCTCTATAAAGTATACCGAACTTTCATGACCAGCAGAAACTCCTAGGAATATAAACATAGCATCGATTTCCTGGGGAGCTCAAAAGAATAATAATTACCATCAAAACACATTTCTAATAAGGTCTCTACTTCTAATCTTAGCAGAAAAGTAGGTATTGACCAATAATAACAAAATAATTTTACAACCAAACAGTTGGAAGTAGTTAAAACTTCCAAAAACACATAGACCCTTAATACTGAATGATCTAGCCGCCTGAATTCCTGGGCTTGACACAACACAGTCCCTCTTCCCCTCTTCTAGTTTATGAAAACCAATCTCTTCCCACCAGGCAACACGAATGGACAAGACTCTAGGGTACAGCACAGTAGGAAATGGCTCATGACCATCCTCGGGAGCCAGTCGTCTTACCTGTTGTGAAAGTTATGTTCCTGGGATCTCCCCACATTCCAGTGCTTATTATTCCTGGAGTGACGGAGAATGTATATGAAGTCCCTGGATGTGCGCCTGTCGCGTTCCACGTTGTTTGATTTGTGACAGCAGGCGTCCACGCATTTTCCATCTCGTTCTTTACTCTGTAAGTGTACTCAGAAGCAGCTGTGTCGATCACATTGGTTGGACTGATGACAACAGCTTTACTGTCAAACACAGGACTAGGTTCTATTCAAATATTGTTTCCAAAGAAAAAGAAGAAAAGGTACATTTAAAAAAGAAATGTAAGAGTGGGGTCTGCTATGCATGTCTACTTTCCCAAAGTCAATTTTATAATCACAGAGTTTCATTTCTGTTTATTTGCCTCCTAGACTTTTCTGTAACAAAGTATATTTAAATACACAGACACATGTATATGTGTGTATGTTAGTGAAACAAAGCTTTAGAACACAGGCAAAACTGACAGAAGCTGGTCACGTTGGCTGTGACTTGAATGTGGGGTTAAATCTGTGTAGATGCTGGTACAAAAAGAGACCTAAGATGCAAAATGAATCTATCTCCCAACTTGCAGAAAACACTGCACGTAGAGATGGTGCATGTTGGTAACGTTTTTGCCAAACCCTGACATCAGCAGAAGCTCAGCAGTTTTCTGACATAAGCATGGCATGGGGCAGAACAGCGTAAAGACAAAAAAACTAGTTTTGTAATCCAAATCTGCTCTTCAAGACCTGCTCCACCAGACCAGCAATTAGTCCCTTAAAACCTCTCAGTCTCCAGTTGTTCTGTTGACAGTTCTAACACACGATCTAAAACATAAAAGATTACTCTTGAGCCACCATGATATGATAAACAAGGTCACTGGATTTGGACATTAAAAAACCTGGCTTCATCTGATATATTTACCTGTAGAAAAAAAATTTTTTTTTAAATCTGGGTTCAGAGTCCAATTCTGCTAGTCACTAGCCATGTAATTTTATCTCCCTGAACCTCAGCTTCATCATCTGAAAAATTGTAGATGTGTGGAATCTTAAACCAGTGGAAGCCATCTTGGTTATTAACAGGAGAACTACCAAATGGATGTATCCTAATTAAATTCAAGATTGAAGAGTAACAACCAGAAACAGAAGAGTGAAACATACGTGATAAGGCCTGTACCCTCAAGCAGCTTGGGACTGACCCCAGAAGCGTCAAGACGGTACAGGTAGCACCATCTTGGGATGTGCATGCAGAGTGTTCCCTGCCTGGCTCACGGGAGATGCTCATGTTTCCCCAATCAATGCAAAAAGGCAGGAGAGGAAACAAGAGAAGGGAAAAGGGAACAAGCAGGGAAGAATCCTGTGGCCCACAATTCAACAAACTTTATGCCAGGAAGCCCCTCCCGACTTCAATTTCCTCTTGAGAGCAGCATTTTTGGCAGATTGTCATTGTGCCACTGTTTACAATCAGCAGTGATGACAGTGAGTGACAAGGATAAAACAATCGTAGCAGTTATAGTGGTGCAGGAGCAAGGACAGTAGCACCCTATTCAGGGCTGGCCATGTCCCAGGTATGCACCAGCTGCTGACAAGCAAGTTCTCATCTGTGCCCCGCAGCAACTTCATGAGGAAGGTGATGGCACCGTCTTGAAGGAGGAGAAATGTATTAAGAAATAAATTTTGTTGATTCATACAGGGATTCCAGGAAGTTTTTTGAAAGGGAGGTTCTTAAGTTTCAGTAGTTCAGAAAGGAACACACATTTTAAAATATATTTTTTTAGATATATGTGTGTGTGTATTAATAAAAATGAAGAAATTGGGGTCAGGAGGGATCAATGACTTGCCCAGGGTGACACAACTGGAATCCAGCAGACCCAGGAAGCAAATCTAGGTCTCTCTGATTCTGAGTCTGTGCTCTTAACCGTGCTGCCATCAGAGAACTGCTTAAAGAGCAGACAGAAAGAAAAGTGTCAGAGCAGCTCTCAGAGGAAACAGGATGTCCCTCCACCCAAGAACCCAAGCGACGGGGCCAACATTGGAGAGCATAAAGATACAAGATGTAGTCGCTTTTTAATGCTGAGGCTTCACATAAAGTGATTTCAAATGCACTGCCTATATGATAACATTTAAATACATTCTCTAAACCCCACAATCTATCCCAAAAGAAAGTCTTGCTTACTTGTGTGTATTCGTAGACAGCAGGTACTGGAGCCATTTGAAAAGGTGATAAGATACTGTGTCCCAGGAGCAAGGCCCCCAAGTACAGTCTTCCCGTCACCGTCTGGTTGGGAATAATTCCAGTGACTCTGGCCACTCAAATCGGTGACATTTGTTACTGAAAAGTTTTCTGGTACCTCACTAAAATGAATCTCATTGAGTGTAGAGCTGAATTTGACAGAACTACAGTTGAAGCCTAGAACACAGAAAGGAAAATCAACATACAAACTAATAACATGGCACCTCCCACCATATACTCCCGATGCAACAGATTCTTTTATTATAGTATTTAAAATTTATAACAGTTCCCTCATGTCCCCAGGTTCAAAATATCATATCTATCCATAGAAGTTTTCTCCTTTCGCACCAGTGATTTAAGACTGCACAAGGTACCTACCAGCTTATTCACCAAACTAATTAACAGGAAGAAAAACCAACTATGAAGCTCTCCCCATTGTTTGCACAGGCTTTGCATAATTACTGTTATTAACTGAGATTTGCTTTATTAGAAGGTTTCAGCAAGATCTGCCTCCTTTGTATGGCACTGTTAGAACAATCTAATCATTTTACCTCCATAGTTCATAGATTCGGGATTTCACCAATCTGAAAAATTTTATATATATATATATATTCCCAAATTTTGGGAACAAACAAAAGCTACCAATTCTTATTCTTTTCCAATAGAAACATTTTTTGAAAAACTACCAACTGCTTTTATCGTTAGTTCTTATAAAAAACGTTTTATGGGGGCCGGCCCGGTGGCGCACTGGATAGTGCGCCGCTTGGGAAGCGCGGCA